TGCTAGCTACTGGAAATATAAAGGTAGAAAAAAAAACCACATAAGTCATTTACCCCGCACACCAGGAATAAACTTATAAGCAGATCTCAGGAGCCCATTGTCCAAAACTGAGTCAAACTGTTGGATAATTTACTGTTGGTCATTAAAATAAAAGGAATCACTTAAACCCACTATAAATAGAATAGTAAATTAGAATAGCAATGACTTGGAGTCAGGAGATAGCATTTGCTAAGGAATTGTTGTGTTTGGAAGTAACCCCCCAGGGTTCCAGTTGTAGTCCTTCCTTCTGGGCCACTGTTCTTCAGTTTCAACTGGGGTTCCCCAGGGAATGACTACCCCTTGGTTCAAGATACTATGACATCACCCTCATGATGGCATTGGTCCTCTTCAAGAATGAAGGGCAAACAACAACAGCTCCTATGTGAGTCTGCTCAACCAAAACTATGACTCAAGAATCCTCACCTATCCTTTTATCTTTATCTCTAGTCATTCAGAAGACATAATTAGCTCATGACAAAACTGTTTGCTGAAATGACCAAGTAACAGAAGCCCCCCCAACTCCCATAAACATGGAGTACTAATAATCAGAGTGTCATTGGGAAGACTGGGTAGCCACTGAGCACATGAGAGGCACATGTGGCTAAGGCATATGTGTGGAAGGGCAGCTAGCATCTCTGGTGCCATAGAGTTGCAGGTCTGCCAATGTCCTCCCACCTCCCACTGTCCTTGGCCGTGCAGTCTCTGTGAGACATTGTTTCATTGCCTGGCTATGGTCACCACTGCCTCCAGCTTTGGGATCAGCTTGTACCCTGACCATGAACTTTGGGAAGCAACTGAAGCCTGGACTTAGGACTATGAAGAGCCTCTTTTCTAGGACCTGCTGTTTTCTGAGCAGGATCATAGTGTCTCTCAGATCCTCACTGGACTCCACAGCACACCCACTCCCCAGGCTTGCTCTGTTAGCCACTGCACCTTCTATGGCCACAGACTGTTGCTTCATGAGCCACTGTCTATGGATGGGGGTGGGGGAAGATCAGATAAATCACCCCTCCGTACATTTGTTTCCATGTGCAAGAGGTACAAAGGGAAAGATGAAGAGTGAATCCATTCCTCAGAGCTCCCTGGCTGGACTGTCTCTGAAGCTCAATTCCTCTGCTTTTAAGCTCTCATTGAGACTCTCCCTACCAGCGGTAAGTTCATGGTCTCCATTAATTCTCAGCAGTTACTTGGCCCCTTCATAGATTCATTGGCCAATCAGAGTCTAGGATTGTCCCACCCTTTACTAGGTATGAATTGATTACATTGAAATGGTCTGAATGAGCAAGTGTGACAAGGATGCCTATCCCTTACTCTCTAATGGATGGCCATCCTTTTATTAAGATCTCAACTTAACCTTAACTCTCATTGCCTCTGTTAAAATGCTGTCTTCTCCATGACAGTAGTGAACTCAGCACCCATAAACTCAATAAATCTTCCTTGGGAACTTATTAGTCCTTTTTAATTTGGCCTTCTTTTCCTTGGAAACTGCTGGCAATCTCATTTAAGTACTTTTGGAAGGCCTGATGTAGCCAGTGAAAAAAAAGGTATTTGAACGAAAAACGTTAAGAGATTCAAAGGATAGATTTCCATAGAAGGCAATGTTTGTTACTATAGTAATTGCTACTGTTACCTGTACTTCTCTTAGACCTGCTGTTCTGTGAAGATTTATTCTTGTATATTATGTGCTCCATAATTCTTTGGACACAGCTTAATTATTTATGATTCTGGAACAGTATGCATGATTATATTCCCCACTGGGATTTTCAAGTAGGGAAATCAAGATGCTGCTTAGGTGACTGCACAGCCACTGATGAGAGCACAGATCTATTGAATTATCACAGTGTACCAGGAAGAGTAACATTTTAATTTCCCTGCCATGTTTTAGATTCCTCAAGCTATCCTGAATGGCAAGGAAAGTAGCTTTGGGGAAATCGGCTGAGCCTGTAGACCTGTGGAGGTGTCCAAGGAAGCTAGAAATTTCATATACACATGGGTCAAAATCTAGGAGGGTCTCACCCTTTACTAGGTATAAACTGGCTCCTCTGAAAGGGTAGCCAAGGCAGGAAGAAGAGCGGGACAAGGAGACACCCTGACTCAACTTAAAATTGGTGATGGAGAACTGCCTGGGAGTTTGAGTGGTGGTGTGCCACCACCTCTCGGGTAAAGCTAAGTATCAGAAGAATTGTAGTACAAGGTGAGGAGAGAGGAGTCCATGCCCCCTTGTTTGGTACAGCCTTGGAGTAGGACACATAGAAGCCAGGAGTCTGTCCCTCCCAAGATAAGGGAGCTCTGGAGTATTTCACATAGCCAATGGTAATGGCCTCTGATGGAGAGAACAATGGTTGGAAGTGACACAAGAGAACAGAGATCATGAAGAAGCATCTCAGTAGAGTAGGAAAAGACCTGGCTTAAGCCAGAGCCCTGGGTTCAGATCCTGCTTCTCACATGGCAAGCTATTGACCTCCTTGGGTCCAGTATCCCCAAACACAAAATGAGAAAGTTGGATCAGATGACCTTTAAGGCCCCTTCCATCTCTAAAGCTATGCTTCTATGATCTGGTGGAAAACTGATAATTCCCCTGCTGAGGATGATGGAAGAAACCCGACTGGGAGGGGGCAACAGGGAGTGAAAACCGTCTGCTGTGAGTAATTAAGAACTGCAGGCAGAGTGAGGTATGGCACTCCTGAGGGAGACAGAACTGTGAAGAATGACAATGAATGCCTATTAGACCAGCCTTAGGAGGAAACACTGGAGGCAAAGGGGTGCCTACCCTAGTCCGAACTGTCACTGAGTACAGGCATGTGAGCTTCAGGGAGAAGGGGATGGAAGCAGGGGGAGAAGTTGCCTATCGCCAGATTTTACAAGTTCAGCCTGGAAACTAATATTCATTCTTTGTGCCTTATGAATGATATGCTTATAATTGAGTTAGTAATGGGCAGCTAGTATGGGCCTGGAGTCAGGAAGCTTCATCTCTGTGAGTTCAAATCTGGCCTCAGACACTTTACTAGCTGTGTGCCCCTGGACAAGTCACTTAACTCTGTTTGCCTGTTTCCTCATCTATAAAATAAACTGAAGGAAATGGCAAACCACTCCAGTATCTTTGCCAAGAAAACCCCAAATGGGGTCGCAAAGAGTCAAATGTGATAGAAAAACAACAACAATAACAATTGAGTTAGTTATAGCACCCTCAGAAAATGAAGTTCCCAAAATATCTGGTTATGGACAAGCCAGAGAACAAAACTCCCCTGAAGTGTATCCAGGCCCATTTTTTAATGTGAGAGCCCATGTAATAGAGGTGACAGAAGGGCTTTGATCAAGAAAACACAGGAGTGGGAGTTCCCTGGGGCCTCTTAGTTCCCAGTTCTTGGGCTGCTGTTACAAGGGCATCACCCTAGCCCCCGCGTTAACTATTGGTAGTCTGAAGCAGAAAGAAGGCATGGTGCCCAAAGGATCTAACAGGCCTTTTTGGGATTGGCACACAGAAACAAGAAGTGGCTGGGTTGCTCTCAGGCTCTGGTAGAATCCTGGCCGCAGCCCTTGTGAATTGGCTATTAAAATAACCCTCAGACACAACTACAATCTGTCTTACAAAATAATTCCTCTGGGGAGAAACTTAGGGGTGGGGGTAATATGAAACCCTCTCTCCCCATCTGCCTCTGGTTCAAATTTCTTGTGTCCCATGAGTTGTAGTGACCCTAATTTCTGCAAATACCAGCTGTGTGTGTGCATGGATCCCACCAAATCAACAATTCTTTCCATTGAATTGGTTTCCCCCTGGAGCCTTAACAACCTATTCTGCACAAATGATTAGATAAACTATTCTGAGTAGGAGAAAATGGCTCATGGTAGATGGAGTGTCACTTCCTGATTGAGCATAGCTCACCATTTCTGTTATCTCCTTCCATTCTCCAAGGGATCTTCTTAAATCTTTATGGGAAGGGTCGGGAGCAGGTCTGAGTATGAAGAATGACTGGCAATGCTGCCCCTTCCTCAGCTCAGCCTATTGCCAGAGGACAATCAAATGTCCAGGGGGTTATAAGGGTGAACTGTGTTTATTGAGAGGGGTCAAAAGCAGCAGTGCCCTGGCTGACCGAGGAAGCTCTGTGTCATGGCCCAGCAGCACAGGAATTTGCCTGGCCTATACTATACAGGTTTGTCTAATAGGGGAACTTCAGTCACCTGATGAAACCTGATTGGGAAAAATATTTGGGGGCAAAGGCATGCATGTCTTTCTGACACCTCTAAAACCACAGAGTATTGGTTCAGGGGGCCTGAATCGTGGGCTTCTAGAGGTAGTCAAAACCTTTTTGTGGTGTTAAAATTTTCCCTTTTATAGGAGACCCTGGTAGAGTCAGTTGGTCAGTCAATACAAGTGGCCTGACCTAGACCTGCTTAATCAGTATGTACCTAAGCAGCCAGAGCTTTCAAATTTCTTTCTTTCCTAACCCACTGACTCGGGTTAGGTTTCTATCTCTGGATGCCAAAGGGAATGGGCGGTGTAAGAAATTCAAATTCCCCCAGGGCCTGCTAGAGGTAAGCTCTAGACAGGATTTTGACCACTTTCACAATAAATGCTCTGTCTGATGAGGAAGACCAGACCTGGAGCGTTTTCCGGAGAAACCACTAAGCCTAGAACACCATTCAAGATCTCTGATGAGTTCTACAGTCTTTTAAAGGCAGAGAGACTTACAGAGAGTGATGGACTAAGAAAGGGTGATGTCTATGTTTATCTCTCTCTCTGCCTGTCCCTGTCTTCATTTCTCTTCTCCTTCCCACCTCCCCACCTTTTCTTAAAGAAGGGAGAAAAAAATGTTCTGTACAACTAAATGCCTGAGGAGAGTCCAGATTGATTCGCCACTCTTACCCTCAGGTTTGCTGGGCAGTTTGAGGATGTCAACCCAAAAGAACAGGGAGAAGAATCTAAGGAAGGACAGGAAGCAGCATGAAACTGACTGACTTCTTTGGAGTTGGGTTTTCCAAGTTCCCCTCAGGACTTTATTACTCCCTAGGATCAAGGAGACAAATGGGTACAAAGCTTCTCTGGCACATGAGCGCTCCCAGGGCTCGGATGTTAAGACTAGGAGCCCCCAGGCTCCATGCCCCAGCTCCTCTGGCTCAAGCTCTGCCTCTGGAATGGCTTGGTGACGTTGGGTCTCCACTGGCATTTAAGACCCCATCTTCAGGGAGCAATGGTTCCTCTCCGATAGGACCACCACCCTCTACCCAGAAGGCTTTTTCCTCCTCCCACAGGGCATTTTCCTCTTCCCAAAGGGATTTTTTATCTTCCCACAGAGCCTTTTCTTCCTCCCACAGAGCCTTATCCTCTTGGAAAAGGTTCCGGTCTCTCTCCCACAAAGCACTGTCCTCCTTCCAGAAGGCTTTATCCTCCCTCCAGAAGGCATGGTATTTTTTCCAGAAGGCTTTTTCCTCTTCTTGGAAGGATATTTCCATTTCCCAGAAAGCTTTTTCCTCCCTCCAGAAGGTTTTCTCTTCTTCCCAAAAAGGTTTTTCCTCTTCCCAGAAGCCCATGATTTGGCCCCGGAATCCTTGAATCTTTGCCCGGAACTCCCACATCTTCTCCCTGAAGGCCTCGATCTTTTCACGGAAAACCTTCATCTCACCTCGAAAGTTTTTTTCCTCCTGCAGCTTGTGGATCAACTTCTTCTGGCGTATGGTAGGGGAAGGGGAGAGCAGTGACCGGAAGCAACCAAACCCCATCCATTTGCTCACCTTGAAGGGAAACATCTTTCCAGTGAGCCTCGCGGGGTTGGCTGCAGCAGACAGGTTGGCTGTTGTCCAAGCGCAGGTAGGCTGGTCAAGCCCTGCAAGGAGACCAAAGAGATGATGTGTCTGCGTCTGAGTCACATTGTCAAGGGAACTAATTCCTGGGTCTGGGTTAGGGAATAATGATTTATCCTATTATTTGTTGGAAACTGGATTACCATTCTCCTTGGTACCTTGTAGCATTTATGCTAAGGATGGCATTCATTCTCAGAATGATAGAATCATAGACCTGGAAGAGATCCAGGCTGTCATTTAGGACAATGACTGCATCTTACAGATGAGGAAACTGAGGCCCAGAGAAGCTAAATGACTTTGTCCAGGGTCATGCCCTAAGAGATAGAGGCAAGTCTTCCTAATTCCAAGTCTATTGGAATTATTCACTATTAAGCACATACTATGGCATTAGGCATTATACTAGGCCTGGAGGTATAAAGCCATTCTCTGACCTCAAGAAGCTCAGCTGTGTGACCTTGCAAAAGTCACTCAACCTCTCTCTGCCTCGATTTCTTAACTGTAAAATGGAGATGATAATAGCGTCTTCCTCCCAGTGTTGTTGTGAGCATCAAATGACATAGTATTTATAAAGTGCTAGTGCCTGGCACATAGTAAGTGCTTAATAAATATTTCCTTCCTTTCTTCTTTCCCTCCCTCCTCTCTCCCTTTCCTTCCTACCTTCCTTCCTACCTTCCTTCCTTCCTTCCTTCCTTCCTTCCTTCCCTCCTTCCTCCCTCCCTCCTTCCTTCCTTTCTTCTTCCCTCTCTCCCTCCCTCCCTCCTTCTTTCCTTCTTTCCTCCCTCCCTCCCTTCCCTCTCTCCCTCCTCCTTCCTTCCTTCCTTCCTTCCTTCCTTCCTTCCTTCCTTCCTTCCTTCCTTCCTTCCTTCCTTCCTTCCTTCCTTCCAGTTGGGAGGGTCAGCATGCAGGACCCGGATTTAGATCCCATCTCTCTCATACTTACTATCTGTTTAACACTTGGGCAAGTCACTTAACCTCCCTAGGTATCCATTTCTTCATCTGTAAAGTAGCTCTCAATCTATGAGCCCATTAAACAATGTATACACAAGCAGAACTGGGAGAATCTTGTACACAGTAACAGCAATATTGTGCAATGATCAACTGTGAATGACTTAGCTCTTCTCAGCAGTACAATGATCCAAGACAATCCCAAAGGACTCGTGATGAAAAAGGCTATCCACCACCAGAGAAAGAATGGATGGAGTCTGAATGCAGATTGAAGCATATTTTTTTTCTTCATTTTTCTTGGGTTGGTTTTTTTGTTGTTGTTCTGTGTTTTCTTTCTCATATGATTAATATGGAAATGTTTAAATGACTGTACATGTATAACCTATATAAAATTGATTGCCTTCTCAATGAAGGGGGAGGGAAAGAATTTGGAAATTAAAATGTTAAAAAATGAATGTTCAAAAATCGTTTTTACATGTAATTTGGGGAAAATTAAATAAATATATTTTAAAAACAATGTATACAGAGAAGTAAATAAAATGCAAATTAATTTTGGGACAGGAGAGGGTAAACTGAATGGAACAGAAGAGACCTCACATGCAAGCTGGCTCCCAAGCCTCAGCTGGTTCTTGAAGGAAGCTAGGATTCTTAGAAGCAGACATTAACACAGGGAGAGCATGCAGACGTGGTGGACAGATTTTGTCAAGGCTCAGAGTTAGAAGGAATGTTGAATTCAGTGAAAAGACAAAAGTCAGATTAGCTGGCATTTAGGCTCCTGGAGGTCAGCAAATGACTTTGTTTTCCACTTTATTAGAGACAGCATGGTATACTAGAAAGAGCCAGTGCAGATCAGAAGACTTGGATTCTGGCCTTGACTCTGTGATTTATTGGCAATGTAACTGTGGCTAAGTCATTTTAATAATAGCTAGCATTTGTATGGGCAGCTGGGTGGTGCAATAGATAGAGCACCTGGCCTGGAGTCAGGAAGATTCTTCTTTGTGAGTTCGAATCTGGCCTCACACACTTACTTGCTGTGTGACCCTGGGCAAGTCACTTAATCCCTATTTGCCTCCACTCCTTATCTATAAAATGGGGACACACTGGAGAAGGAAATGGCAAATCACTCCAGTGTCTTTGCTGAGAAAATCCCATGGAAATAGTCCGTAGAGTCATGAAGAGTCCAGACATGACTGAACGATAACAACAAAGCATTTGTATACCACATGTTAAGATTCACAAGATGCCTTACAAATATCCTCTCATTTGATCTTCACAACAACCCCGGGAGGTAGGTTATCATCCCCAGGTGAAGAAAGGAGGCTAGCAGAGGTTGCGTGACTGGCCAAAGGTCATACATATAATATCTAGCAAGTATCTGTGGTTGGATTTGAATTCAGATCTTCCTGACTCTGGGACAACCCTCGATCAGCTCTGCCCTCTCTAGCTGTCTCTTGAGGCTTTTCACTTTCCCCATGTATTTATTTTTTTGTTAAGTTGTTTCAGTTGTGCTGATTCATTGTGATCCTATCTGAGGTTTTCTTGGCAAAGATATTGGAGTGGTTTGCCATTTTCTTCTCTAGTTCTTTTTACAGATGAGGAAACTGAGACAAACGGGATGAAGTGACTTGTGTCACATAGCTAGTAAGTGTCTAAGGCCGGATTTGAACTCAGGAAGATGAATCTTCCTAACTTCATACTCAGCAATCTATCCACTGCCCCACCCAGCTGCCCCTCCCCACACAATGGGGCTAATAAAATGATCACTACTTACCTCATAGTAATGTTGTGAGGAAAGTTCTTGCAAACACAGGAGCCCTATGTAAAAGGTAAGTTATTATTATTATTATTTGTTACTCCTTAAGTACCATGGCTTACACAGTGGGAATCCATAGGACAAAATAATCAGCAGACAATGCCAGTTGCCTGCTTACTGGATTGGTCAAATACGACAGATTCATTAAAAATCCCCACGGTGCCCTGAAAATACTGATGATATCACTGAAGAAGAGATCAGTTAGAACCTTTGACAAGTACAAACTTGGGATAAAGCACAAAATATCAACTAATTCTTGACTTCACCCCCTCATTCTCATCCTTATTGAATTGCCAGTCAGTCAAAAGCATGCATTGAGCACCACGGTATACAGAACACTCTGCAGGATACTCTTAAGAGCTATAAAGGAGGAGAAAACTCATGTCCTTCCCTTCAAGGAATTCATAATATTAACCAGTAGCTTATAATACAGCTACCATTATTACCCATGTTCTCCCCCACCCCCAAGCATTTCTTCCTCCTTCATTTTGAGGAATAAGTGAGATTTTCTTTGTTTAGTTTTTCCCAGTGAGCTACCAGCAGCAAATAGTTCTAAACCTATGTTAGCTTGGTAGGAAAAGTTGAAGCACTGGTATTTAATTAAGAACTCATAGTGGAAAGTTTTTAACTACTGTTCACACCTCTTCCTCTGCTCCTAGCTAAGTGTCAAAGGCTCTCTGCTCTGTGGTGAACAGCTGCTACCTCAGGAGAAAAATTAAGGGTCCTTCAATCCCCTTCCAGAATTCCCACCACTGCTGCAGCATTCTCTCATGTTGCTCCCATTTTAGTAGTAACATACCTTCAAAAAGGGGGAAATTATGTGAATAAATAGAGTGTGAACATGCCAACATCAAATTCATCTTCCTTGGGATAGTTTGTGTCTGGGTCATATAGAAAGGCAGAAGACAAGCTACACACAGGATACTTTCACCCTAAGTTTAGAATCCTTTATCGCCAAATCTGAAATAAAGGGATACTTACTGCTTAGCTGTTCTCTAAATCAACTGGACAACTCTTGTTGCATCCAGGAGACAGGCACTCATTGTCTAGCCTATCAGGTCATCTATAGTGATGTCACTTCAAAGGATGCAAACCCAGTTGTTTGTAATGCTCTCTCTCTCTCTCTCTCTCTCTCTCTCTCTCTCTCTCTCTCTCTCTCTCTCTCTCTCTCTCTCTTTCCCTATCCATCCCTTTCCTCCTTTCTTGAGGTTAGCCCATAAGATGAGGAAGACAGCAGGGGAGGTGCAATTGGAAGAAATTGAACAAGGCAAAAAGGATCTAGAGAGACTCAAATAATCTGCTCCATCTTCCTTTTTGAACCTGACTGGAATGTACAACAGAAGCATGGATGACTCCAATGCTATAACAAAGAAGATTATGACCTCACTTCCTGCTTAAACTATTTCCCTTTGGGGTAAACCTTATGGAAATCACTTTTATTTAGGGGTGTTTAACAGGAGAAGTTGCCCTTCTTACATATACCTGCTTTCCTCCAAGCAACCTTATGATGTGGGTACTGTCAGTATTATTATGCCCATTTTGGGGCATAATAGGAAAGTGAGGCTCATAAAGGTTAAGTGACTTGCTGACAGTCACACAGCTAGTTAGCGAGTGGTGGGATCAGTCCTAGAATCTAGATCTTGTGATTCCAAGTTTCATTTTCATTCTACTAGATGATTAGAGGATGGGCAGATCAAAGTGAATTGGAACAACTGATTGATTAGCAAAGGCTTCATGGAGAGGCTGACACTTGAGATGGATCTTTTGAAGGATTAGTAGGTGGCAAGGTAGGTGGAGGGCATTCCAAGATGGCATAATCATACAAATATGGAAGCAAACATGACATTTGCTTGGGATGATGAACACTAATATTGCACCCACTATTTTCTCTAGTTAGTGACTGTGATTGTTACTGGACTGTCAATCGCCACATCCAGCTTGGCTGGAAATAAAAGGTTGTGCTGAGGAAGAATGCTAGATGATTGATTGTATAAACTCAAGCTATGGACAATCTTGAATATCTGACTAAGAAGTCTATGCTTTTATATGCAATGGAAGCTACTGAAGATTATTGACAAGAGGAGCTACATAATAGAGATGGAAAACTTCAAGAAATGAAAGGGACCCAAGCGGTTATCTGGTCTAACCTTCTTCCAGAAGCATAAAGCCTTTTTTTCCACCCTAGACAAGTCATCAATCGAGTATTTTAGTATCATCAATTTAGTGTTCTGGACAGCTCAAATTATTAGGACATATTTCTTAAATGTTACTGACACCTGCTTTCCCATAACTTCCAGCCATTGGTTCTGCCCTCTAGAACTATGCAGAAACATTTAATCCCTCTTCCACATGACAACCATTTCTATTTGAAGGCAATTCTCATGTCTATAAGCTTTATCCAGGCTAAACAGCCCATGTTCTTTCAGCCGTACCTCATATGACATAGTTTTGTGTCCATTCAGTCCTTCAAGTATTCTCCAGTGGGGTTGCAAGTACCTCATGATGAATAAAAGGCCTGAAATCCCAATGAATGTCATAGATGCTGGAAAAAAGAAATACATCCTAGTTATGTTTTTAGGAGACAGTGGAGATTGGTGGGTCTTTGTTGGAGCTCAGCATTGAATGAGAACGTGTCCCTTTCCCTCTCCCCTTTGCCCACTCGTGAAAAAGTCCTTGCCAATGACATCACCCTAAAATGAAAGTTGTACTAAGATTACTGTCCACTATGCTAACTTATGATCACAGTCAATTTTAATCTTTTTTAAAATAAGAGAGTCTTTTCAAAATTGATTTCTTTTGCTTTTACGTTATGTGCTGTGAGTCTGCCTGACACATATCTCTCCCCACTCCAGTCCCACCCTCTATTTAGCCAATAAAATGATTCTCCTAAAATACCAGTCCAACCGCATTACCCCCATACTCAGTAAACTTCCATGGCTCCTTCTCCCCTCTAGGAGCAAGAACAAAACCCTCTGTTTGGCTTTTAGAGCCCTTCATAACTCCTCCTTCCCCTGCCTTTCTATTCATTTTACACCTTATTCACCTCCTTCCACATACTGTATGATCCAGTGACACTGGCCTCCTTGCCGTTCCTGAAACAAAACACTCCATCTCTCAGCTCTGGGCATTTTCTCTGGCTATCTCCCATACCTAGAATGCTTTCCTTCCTCATCTCTGGCTCCTGGATTCCTTGGCATCCTTCAAGTCTCAACTAAAATCCCATCTTCTATAGGAAGACTTTCCCAATGTCTCTTAATTCTAGTGCCGTCCCTCTAGTATTTCTCATTTATCCTGTGCATAACTTGTTTGTACATGTTTGCTCCTCGTCTCCCCTAGTAGATTGGGAGTTCCTCATGGAAAAGTCTACCTGTCAGATCTATGGATTAGGGAAGAGTTTATGACCAAATCAAAAGATAGAGGAGATTACAGGAAGTAAAATAGATAATTTTGATTACATGAAATTAAAAAGCTTTTGCACAAACAAAACTAATGCAGTCAAAATTAGAAAGAAAGCAGGAAACTGGAGGGGCAGATTTTGCAGAGAAACTTTCTCTGATAAAGGCCTCATTTCTCAAATATATAGGGAACTGAGCCAAATTTATAAAAATAAGAGCCATTCCTCAGTTGATAAATGGTTTAAGGATATGAACAAGCAGTTTTCAGATGAAGAAATCAAAGCTATCAATAGTCACATGAAAAAATTCTTTAAACCACTACTGATTAGAGAAATGCAGATTGAACAGCTGTAAGATACTACCCCACACCTAGCAGATTGACTAACATGACAGAAAAGGAAAATGACAAATGCTAGTGGGGATGTGGAAAAATTGGGGCACTTAGGTACTGTTGGTGGAGTTGTGAACTAGTCCAAACATTCTGGAGAACAGAGCTACGAAGAGCTACAAAACTGTGCATACCTTTTGACCCAGCAATACCACTCCTAGGTCTGTATCCCAACAAGATCAAAGAAAAAGGGAAAAGATCTATTTGTACAAAAATATTTATGGCAGCTCTTTTTGTGGTGGCAAAGAATTGGAGATTAAGGGGATGCTCATCAACTGGGGAATAGCAGAACAAGTTGTGGTATATGATTGTGATGGAATACTAATGTGCTATAAGAAATGATAAGCAGTTAAATGACTATTGATTAGAGAAATGCAAATCAAAACAACTCTGAGGTGCCACATCACATCTATCAGATTGGCCAACATGACAAAACAGGAAAATGATAAATGTTGGAGAAGATGTGGGAAAATTGGAACACTAATGCATTGTTGGTGGAGTTGTGAAATGATCCAACCATTTTGGAGAGCAATTTGGAACTATGCCCAAAGATCTATAAAACTGCATACCGTTTGACCCAACAATAGCACTTCTAGGGCTGTATCCCAAAAAGATCTTAAAAATGGGAAAAGGACCCACATGTACAAAAATATTTATAGCAACTTCTTTTGTGGTGGCAAAGAATTGGAAATTGAGAGGATGCCCATCAATTGGGGAATGGCTGAACAAGTTGTGATATATGAATGTAATGGAATACTATTGTGCTGTAAGAAATGATGAGCAGGCGGACTTCAGAAAAACCTGGAAAGACTTGTATGGACTGATGCTGAGTGAAGTAAGCAGAACCAGGAGAATGTTGTACACAGTAACGGCCACATTGTGTGATGACTAACTTTGATAGACTTAGCCTTTCTCAGCAATGCAAGGATCTAAGACATCTCCAAAGGTCTCTTGATGGAAAATGCTATCCACATCCAGAGAGAAAACTGTTGAACTCTGAATGCAGATTAAAGCATACTTTTTAAAATAAAATCTTTCTTAATTTTTATTGTTTTATTTTGTTTCTGTTCCTTTTTGCAACATGGCTAATATGGAAATATGTTTTGCATGACTTCACATGTATAATCTATATCAAATTGCTTGCCTTCTTAAGGAGAGGGAGGGAGAAAGGGAGACACTTTGGAACTCAAACTTTAAAAAAAATGATTGTTACATTTTTACCCGAAATTGGGAAATATTTAATGAAATAAAAAATTTTTTAAAAAGCTTGTAAAGTTCTTGAGAATGGATTGTGTTTTTGCCTTTCTTTTTTGGCACTCCTAGCACTTAGCACAGGTCCTGACACATAGTAGTTGCTTAATAAATGCTTATTGCTGCCTGATTGATTTCTTAATATATCCCTCCCTCTTCCTCTCATCTAGAAAGTCATGTCTACGTGGGAAATGGCCTCTCAGAACGTTATGTCTCCATCCCACCCACCCCCTCCCAACAGTGAGTGGCCCAGAGTAGGCACTTAACACAGACTTGTTGAACTTAACTGAATTGAATCAAAGGGAGTGCCAGACATGCCTACCCATGGCCTTTTTATTTTAACAATGGAAAAAGAAAGGTTAACAGCAGAAACAACTACAAAAGAGATTCCGTTACATTGGACTCTTGCTGATGCTCAAAAGTCTTGATTCTCAATAGTGAAAAATTCTAGGTGTCAAGTATGGAATGTCTCTTAGGAGCCACCAGACTGGGTCCTTAAAACCTGGAGGATGCTGAAAAGAGCAGGAACTCTGCCCCCACCTCCTTCAGTCTAGTATCTAGTAAGTGCTTCCTCTGTGCTAAATGCTAGGGACAGAAAGACAAAACAAGTACATTTTAATGGGGGAGACAACATGAAAATCATTAAGTCCTTACAATATGTATTCAGAAGACAGGGGAACCTCCAGTGCCACCACCACCTCTGGAAGAAGGAATAGGGCTGCGTCAACCCTCCCTTGGGTATAGAGTTGCCAGTGTTTCAGAGCTCTGGGAGTAGGCTTAACCTCATCAGGGCTACGAAATCTTTTGTTACCGTTTAAGGGTCTTGTTCTAACTCCCCCTTTCTCAAATGAGAGTGCAGTTTTAGAGGCCAGAACTTCTCTTGTCCAACCTGTTTCCCCTTTCCTCAAATTACCTTGTAGGATATCGTGATGTTGAAAGCAGACGCATGTAAAATGAAAGTTTTCATTATAATTTGTTTTTTGTTAAATGGAAGTTGCCGTGAGTGACCCTGCAGACTTTCTTCTAAATTAGAAAGAAATCATGAGGAGGAGGTGGTGATTATAGGGGAGTGACTCAAATAGAAGAGTGACTTCAGTAAGAAAGACTTTTGTGCTGGGGAAAGCATGAAAAAAAGAGAACATTTATGCAGAAGCAATTTATTTTGACAGTGACTTTCCAAACACTCCCTGCCTTTTAAAAATAAAAAACTTATTTGTGTTTGAATAAGAACATTATTCATCTACACATGCACACTAGGAAGTGTCTAGTTTGACAGATGACACTATTAGATCATATTATTACTATGTGTGCAGGTACAGATGCCAAGGCCCAGGGCCAGATTTTTCCATGGGTTCACTACACTCATGACTGACTTTAGTCCTGTTGGAAGCAAAAGGAAAATGGGGGCTATTGGCTTTCCTGATGCAGTTTCCCTTTTGTCGACCAGGGGTCCCCAAACGGATGAGTGGGAACCTTTATCAGCTTGTACCCTACAGCCCATACTGAGAGTGTGGCAGAGATGTGATGAGAAAACTGACCCTTGAGAGCCCATGGAGCAGATTTGGGGGGGGCCAGGCGGATCATAGATCTTCTATAGTCCTCTCAGGAGGCAGCTTTTCAGGGGTAGCTAGGTTGGTGCAGTGGCTAGAGCTCTGGCCTTGGAATCAGGAGGACTTGAGCTCTGATCTGGCCTCAGACACATGACACTTATTAGCTGTGTGACCCTGGGCAAGTCACTCAACCCAGACTGCCTCACTGCCCCCCCCCTAAAAAAGAGGCACCTCTTGAAAGAAAGCGTCAGAGATGTGCAAACAGGAATGTCCCATTTCCTCGTCCTCCATGATACTGCGGATAACTCTCCAAATCAGGAGAGCTTCATATTGTTTGTCCTATGGGCTAATACAATCTAAGTGAGATGGTGGCATATGAGTACCAGTAATTGAGGGGCTGGCAGGAGGAGGTTGTATTGATCCAACACTAGAAAGAACAATGGTCTGTTTCACCCTGTGGACCTTTAAAGACATCTCTCTTTCAATGAGTACTGTAGTCAAAGTATTTGAGATTTTGCCTCTATCACCTCCTGGAATCTAGGATGACTTGAAACATTTTCAAAATAAGCAATATATAAGGACTGGATGACAGCAGGACATGCAAGTGACTGTTGCATATAAGAGGTGAGGTGGGGTCAGTACAACAGTCACTTGTGTGTTCTGCTGCCATCACATCCTTATACATGTCCAACACTTACTGCCTTGAGTCCCTCACCTGCAGCTCACTTTTCAGCCCCCTGAAATCTGGCTTCCAACACGACCACTTGCCTGAAACAACTCTCGCCAATGTTACCAAAGATCTCTTAACTGTTAGATCCCAGAGTTTTTTCTCACTCATATTTCTAGATTTCTTGGCAGCTTTTGACGCTGTTGCTTATCTGCTAACCTCCTGGTTTACTCTCTCTCTTTCTTTAGCTTTTGGGGGTGCTGCTTTTTTTCTAGTTATCCTACCTTTCTTAACCACTCTGTCTCCTTTGTTGTGTCATCATCCATGTTCCATGTGTGACTGTAACCCAGGACTGTTGTCTTCTTTCATCTCTATGTTCTCTCTTTCATTGATCTTATCAACTCCTATAGGTTCAATGATTATCTCTATGCAGATAACTCCAAAATCTATAAATCCGGTTTTCATCCCTCTCCTGAGCTACAGTTCCCCACCACCAACTGCCTGTTGAATATCTCAAACTCACTACCTTTAAAACTGAGCTAAACTAATACTGCCCCTAACTTCCCTATTTCTGTCAAGGGTACCACCATCCTTTTCAGCCAGCCAGTTTCAAACAACTAATCAATCAGAAAGCATTTTATTGCTGGGGATAGAAATATAATGAATGTAATGATCTCTATCAAATAGTGGAACTTCCACTTGAAAGGGGAAGACAATGAGCATATATGTAAGTTTATACAGAATAAATATAAGGAGAATAAGGGTGGACTGCTATATAACTCCCAGGTGCTATTTCCAAAGTTAATTCCTCAGGGAGATAGATACATGATTGTGGGCTATATCTCCAGTTGTCCTGATATATGTATCT